ATTGCTTTTAGAGTTTGGGAGGGTATAGCAAGAACAGTACTTGACTACAGTGCAATCAATTACCAAATAATATTGATAAGACTTCATGGACAACTCTTTGATATGATGATCATTCAAATTTATACTCAAAGCTCCGATGCAGAAGAAGGGGAGGTGGATTAATTGGTGGATTAATTTTACAATCAAGTTCAATTTGAAATTGACAGAGCAAGCAAGCAAGATACGCTGCTTGTGATCGCAGACATGTTTCCAAATTTGGAAACATGAAAGAGAAAATGTGGTTGGAATGTATGGCTTAGGAGACCAAAATGAAGCAGGAGCCTGACTTATCAATTTCTGCCACTCCAATGACTGTGAGCTTGCACATGTTTCATTACCCAACCAGGTATCATCATCAGTGCTAGTGAGTGTGGGGTTTTCTCCCTGTTTATATACTGTACAGTTGCTTGCCCTGCCAGTGTTGGTGGGGGTCTGGTTTTCTCCTTGATTAGGGTATTGTTTTCTGCTTGATTGTTTGTCTGGTGTTAATCCCTGCTTTATCATACTGTATCATACCATAGATATCCATGCCACCCAAATCTCAAATCATGACCTTCTAAATCCAGTAATCTTCGATTTCTTAACAAGACCCACTCTTTCATCCAAACTCAACACCAAGCAGCAAAATACAGTTTCAAATCTAGTAAGCCCAATTCTCCTCTTTCCTTTGCATCTTATAGTACCTTATATTTAACTTGTGTTTTTTTCCCTTGCCATGCAAATTTAGATATATCCTTCTGCCACTGTTTAAATGGTACCTCAGTTCTCAAAACAGGTATTATCTGAAACAAAAATAACATTCTGGGTAGAAGATTCATCTTAATCACAGAAATTCTCTCCAACAGTGACAACTGTACTTTGTCCCTCTTGACATATATTTTTTAACTTCATTCCATGTCTTAACACAATTATTCTGAAATAACACACAATGCATATTTGTCATAGTTATAACCAAATATTTTACCTTCTTCTCAATCTTGAAACCTGTTTTATTCATCAGTTCTGTTTGGACTTGTAACTTCATATTTTTTGTAAACATTTTTGTCTTCTGTTTATTAATCCTGAAACCGGCTAATGCCAAAATTATTTTAGTTTAATCATTAAAGGTTCAATTCCCTTTAAAGGCTCTGCCAAAATCAAAACCAAGTCATCGCAAAAGCTCTTAACTTATATGACTCTCCATTAAGGGAGAGGCAGAGAAGGACCCTCTTCTGAGGGAAGAACCCACCTTAATGGTTATGGTTAATTGTCTGCAAAGCAAACATCTTTCTATGATGGGCTTCAGACATACCTAGGAACTTCTGGTTGCTCAAGGCTAGAAATTGGTCTGCTGAAAGTGAGCAAGGTTGGTCCCGGTACTGGTGCCATGTTAAGTTCACCACTTTCAACTATTGGGCACAATGACAGCACATAGTGTGGGGTAGTGGTGAAGGAGGTGGACTAGCATTAGAGAGACCCAGATTGAACTCCATGCTCAGCCACGGAAACTCCCTGGAGACTCTCTCAGCCCAGCCTAGCTCATGGGATTGATGTGATGGGGATAAAATGAAGGGAGATCCCCATGTAAACTGCCATGAATTCTTGGAGAAAGACAGGATATACATCTAATAGATAAACAAATGTTCTAATCTTCATGTATCTCTTCCCAGAGGAACAGAGGGAATGGGGTCCCACAACTCACTAGGAGTGGCCTGGAAAAGAATCATTAAGTGATCCCATTTTCCATATCCAAATAGATGGCAGAATGAAGAGGGAAATCAGGGGAAAATGTAAAAGGTTCAGGAAGGGGCTGGAGGAAAGAGAAAAGCATGTGAGGCTGTTTCAGCCCAAGAGAGTCAAGGAGCAATTAGGCCCAAGGCCCAAGTCTACCTGTTGCTCCTTGGGCTGCAGGCTGTTGACCCTGGCAGTGGTGTGCCCAAGGTCCACGATGTGGTCCCCTACTTAGTCAGTGAAGCTTGGGATGGATGTTCTGTCTATAATCATAAATCCACCAAGGGAGTTAAATCTCCTTCAAAGGTGAGCATTTCATGAAGGCTTCTTCTGTTTAGTTAGCCTATCTGGAGTAGCTGCAGATTAGGATCCCACAGGGAATGAAAATGCATCATGAAGATGGACAGTAAGAACCTTCCTGCTACCACTGAATGGAATTTTTTAATCAACATTTACTTTCCAAAACACAGGTGGTGGAGCCAAGGTGAAAAGTGCGCTCGAAAGCTACAATTGTGCAACAATGGGTGTTATAATGGTCTTCTGCCTGATTTTGCTCACACTTTGGGCTGTCACTCTGTGTAAGTTTTTAATTTTATCCAATTGGTTTATCAGTTCTGAGGCCTGTAATGGTATGTGGGAGTGACCTTGGGAGACAGGGGGAAGAGCCACAGCCAAGGGAACAGTCGGATAACAGGCAGCTGAGCCTGCAGCTGGAATGGGGGTGTGGCAAATATCTCAGAAGGGACCCTCCCTAGTTTCTCAGGCTGTAAAGGTGAGGGAGGAGAGAGATACTTTCAGACCTGCAAGATTCTGTTAATGTAGCCTTACAATAAAGTAGAATTAGTGCATCTGGGTGTGCTGCTTGTCTGGACTACCTCGCAAGGCTGACATCACTCTTGCAATTCTGGAAGTACATTTCTCCCCTGTCATCTTTATAGCCTAAGAAATGATCACTGTTAAAGGGTCATGTAATGATGGGTCATCTCCCCCCCCCCCCGCCCCGGCAAGTCTCTAATACCATGTGTACTTTTCAAACTTTAAACAATAGTGAGTGGATGTGTGGATCTGCTCACATGTGTACGTATCCTCGCATGCAAATCAAAGTAAGAACAATAGAAAAGCTGAGGGAGATGGGCAGCATATAAATGTAATAAATAAGTAAATAAAGTGGGAAGGAAGTCCTGAATCCTTCCTTTGTGATACAGAAAAAAAGTTGTCCATGATCTTTCTAACTATGATGGAGAGATCAGGTAGAAAAACAAAAGTTGTGAAGAATGTTTGTGAAGAAAGAATATATACTGAGGAACCTGTTGCAGATTAAATCCTCCCTAAAGTGTTCAGAGCTGAAGGAAAAGAGGTAGTTAAAGTGCTCAGAGCTCAAGGTCAGCAATGGTGGGATAACACTACCTTTCTTACCTCTTTCTTCCCCTTTCTCTCAATGCACTTATTCTTCCTTCATAGACTTGTTTTGCAATCTGATCCTCATGCATTCTCTTCATATGACCAATCTCCTCAGGCTAATTCTTTGCACTTGTTGCTCATTTTTGTATTCAGTCCACCTTCACTCATGTTTCCCTCTCTTGTTTTACCAGGTACACTGCACACTTATGTTCCCACTGTAAGGTTTGCCCCGTTCGACAGAGAAACTCTCGTGACACGTGTGGTTCACAAAGAA